TCTCCCACCACAGCATGCCCAGTTTTGCCTTTATATTTCTTTATATTCCGCCGACTTTCAGCGAAATCTGCGGGCAGCCAGGCAAAACAGGACATGTTTGGGGACCGCGTTTCAGCACCAGCTGTATAGCTGCTCATTTTTACCGATTTCAAATTAAGCCCTCAAGAACTTGCCCTCTTCTGAAGGCAGGCGCGTCCTGCGTGTGAGATAAGCGTCTCGGTGCTAGCCGGAGGCGCGCAAGCCGGCCGGGCGCTCACAACCCGGACCGTTTGGCAGCGTTGCCCTGCCGTGAAGGGGAAAAGACGTGAGATGCAAAAGAAGCGCCATGCCAGTCGGGGGGAAAGCGGGGAGGTTTTGCATCGTTTCGGAGCTAGGTCTGTGCGGGGGGGACCGATCTAATAATTAATAATAATAATAGAATCACAGAATCACAGAATCGTTTAGGTTGGAAGGGACCTCTGGAGATCATCTAGTCCAACCTCCCTGCTCAAGCAGGGTCTCCTAGAGCATATTGCCCAGGATCACATCCAGACGGCTTTTGAATATCTCCAGGGAAGGAGACTCCACCACCTCTCTGGGCAACCTGTTCCAATGCTCTGTCACCCTCACAGTGAAGAAGTTTTTTCTCAGGTTCAGAAAATCACAAAATCAGTCATGGTATCATCATTTTAGCTTCAGTCTCCTTAAATACAATAAGCAGTAGTTTAAGATTAGTGAAAACAGTAATGCTATTACAGTTAGACAGAGTAGGAAATTTGTTGAATTAATTGAGATGTAAGCTATAACAGCTTACAAAAAAACCAGGCATGCACAACTTCAATTAAGTGCACTTGCTTAATGGCTTCACGAAATACAAAAAATACTAGAAACTGCTGTTATTTTCTCATACTTTGATAGTATTAGCCTGCTCCCAGTGCAAATGGTATTTAAGGATGGTGGCACGTGAATTTATAACAGAATTTCACTCTCAGAGGAAAATTAGCTAAGGATAGTGATTTTGAAAGCTGACAAACAGCTGCATAGTTTTGAGCATTACAGTCCTAGAAAATCAAATCCAAATGAAAATTACAACTGTTTACAGAGTTGTGCAAGTCATACACTTATCCCATTGATGGTCCTTGGCACTACAATTAATGAATCTATATTAGTGTCACATCACACTTGTATGTATATTAGTCTGACCCTAGTTGTAGCAGGATATTGCCAGATGGTGAACCCTGGAAATATCTGGTCTGTCCCTAAGCTACAATTATACTACAACTACAGTAATGACGATTATTACTACAAACCACTGATGTTTGCATAGCATGTGATAGTGATGCATGCCAATAGGTATTTCACCCAGATGGTATAACAAATCTAATTATTGATGTGAGATGAAGATATGTATAAAAATGTTACCGTCAGCGAAGAACAAATATTCCACACTAACAAAACCTGTCGTATGTGTGAAGTTGTTACTATAATACAGTGCTAGCAATGCAATACTTTCCAACAGAATGTCAAGTTTAATAAGCTTAAGCTAACAATAGATCCTGGCCACCTTTGTGTAGCACTTCAGCACCTATATTTATATCTATCTCAAGCAGCTGGAGCTGCAGGACAAAAAGAGAAATTTTGCTCATCACACAACATGCCGACCATGAGATAGTCAAAGTCATAAAATGAAGTTCAACCTACAACCCCACATCACTGGTGAGATGGGTTTGGGGGGGCAAGTGGTACTCTAGATAGTCCACAAAGGTTAACACGGTTTTTTTCAATACTGTGTTTCACCACATCATAGTTCTTCTCATGTTACATGAGCTATTAGCTGCAGTCACAATATAAGGGGCTCGTTGCCTTTTCCGCCTGCGGTCGCTTTTACTTCTTGCGCCTCTCCCATGCAACGCCAGGCCAGGGCAGCCTTTTTCAGGAGAGTCACCAAAATGAGTTTTTTAAGTCTGCAGAGGGGATTGATAAGATCAGAGGCAAGCAGCGGTTTACCGAGGATAACAGATAATATTTATGCTAGCTGTGCGTCTCCTCAGCTATGCACTTTTTGCATCCTCTGCCGGCTCTTGTATTGATCACCAGCTCCCGTGCCAGCCCGTTGTCATGCTGCTTGTGTTGCGTTGCTTTACGTGCGGGATGATTCCCCGTCCTTGCCTCTTGTTGCTGTCAGCGTGTGTCCCCACGGGAGCGCCGCGGCATCTCGGTTTCGCCGGTGGCACTGCCCAGCGCAGCAGGTGGCTCCCACTGGCCGGCGAAGCCCTGCTTTGGTGCCCGGCAGGGTGCCGTCCCGCAGAGCGCTGCTCAGCTCTGCGCCGAGCGCTGAAATCTCTGCGTTCGTCCCCTTTTTGGCCCTCTCTCGTCCTCGTGCCTCTTCAGTCCGCTCTGTCCCTCTGCGCTGTCTCCCTGGCTCATTCCCACCCTCTTGCTCCTTCCTTTCTTTTCTCCTGCCCTCATAAGCATCTACCTCAATTTGCTCCTGCTCTTTCTCCTGCTTTTCGGTAGCAGCTGAGGTTGTAATGTGGTGCCAGCCTTGTGTTTTCTTGCCTTCTCCTGCCTTTTTGGCCTGCTTAGCTTTTCACCTTGTCCTTCAGGTCTTTTTTTCTATTCTCTTCCTATCAGCTCCTGTTCGGGGTAGCTCGGCACCAGACCCCTCTCCCTCCAGCAAGCTGTCCCCCAGCACCTACCACCACCTCCCCCTGCTTTCTCTCTCTTTTCTGTGTCTGTCTCACTGCTTGATATTTTCTCTTTCTCTCAGAAGGCTGTGAACTTGCCGTGCGCTCCTCCCATCCCCATTTGCTGCTGTCTACCTGTTTTCCCCTTTATCATCCTACTTAGCTATGAGCTAGCATTTCTCTGTATTTCTCACTGTCTGTACACATGACTACTCCCTCTTCTTCCAGCAGTTTCTCAGCATTTTTGCCTGCTTAAACTTCTATCTGTGTCTTCAGCTACCTTTCTCTTTGCTCAAGATCCTGCATGTAGCATGTGCTACTGTCCAATGAAGTCCTCTGTCTTTCCTCCCAAGTACCACTCACATTTTCCGTTGTCTCATACTTGATTCACATTTCCAGCTCTTCTTCTTAAAACCTTTTCCTCAGATTCTCTTTTCCACAGGGACTCGTTTGGATCCTGAGACCAAAAAGGGAATTTTCTTGTATTCTGACAGTACAAGGAACCAGGCCCTGGCCTGGTGCTCTCTTTCTCCCTCTTTCTCTCTCTCTGCCTATTGTGCCTCTTCTCTTTCACCTTCAAGATCACTGTTTAGGATCTACTCTCTCCCTCCTCAGCTGTTGCCCTACTGCGACCTGCCTCTTTGTGCACATAGCAAGTCAAAGGTAGGGCAGGGAACGGGGCCTGGCCATCACAGCGTTCAAAGGCTCTTTCCTCCCCAGTATTCCTAAGATGACACATACATTATTCCATTTTATTTCTTCTATATTCCAATATAGAAAAGGTCTTGTCCGATTTGTGAAATATATTTTCCTCTAGACTATTTTTGAGTAGGTTTTTGTGCTTGGTGTCAGCACAGCATGAATATAGTGCCAGTTTTCCACCATTGGGCTTTTCTAAAAGTGTATAAATGATTAAAATTAATAGCACAGCCAGAATTTGAAATAATACTTTAGAGATCTTGATGAAGTACAAGCAACGGTATCCTGAAAGTTGCTGATGCTGGAGCAAATGGCATAATGAAATATGTCATTTTCACCAAAGCTATTAGCTAATCGCTCTTTGAGACCCTTATTATGTTCTGTTCCCTGGCTGTCAGTGCTGAGGATCAGTTTTGTATTTTAAGGATTTTAGGAGCAGACTAGCTTTATAATAAGAATAACATCACAATTTTATTCAGTTAATCTCTTGCAATTCGACATTACCTCTCCCTAAGAAATACCTGAGGGGAGAGGATTGAATACATAGCTAAACAGCAGCAGTCAAGGCTCATGTCATGTCCTGGGGTTGAAAACCAGTTTATTGCTCAGAAGTGATTCAGTTCATCTGATCATTAATCGCCAAATAAAACCTTTTACTGTGCTTCCTACCGATGTTTACTGCGCCTTCTATTGATGTCAGTGTTGCTGATATCGCCTGGAAATGAGGAGCACAAAGGTATAAATCTTTGCTTTGAAAATAGAAGAGAAATGGCTACATGGCACTTCTCCAGGCTGTCCCTGGGTAAGTGGCCCGGCTGTTTGATTTTTGCACATTCCATTCAGCTTAGCATACAAAATAGCTCAGGTTTGTGTTTGCTTTTTTTATCTAATCACTGCGTGGTTGATGTTCTGAGTGTGCACTGTATGCTCAAGTTTTATATAAGGAATTTCCAGCAATGTGAGGGTATTAGGGGAAGCAGAAGTACTGACAGCAGTCATTCCAAACTGGGTCAGAAACACCACCGGGAAAGACCTGATTTCACGTCCTTGATGCATATGAGAATTCTTCCATAGCTTGGACTTGATCCAAAGTATGAGGACAATTTGGCTGGTGTAGGAATTACGGGAAAAAAGAGGGAGGACTTTGTGGGTCATCAAGACTTCAGGCCTCTAGTTTCAGACTACTTTGGTGCTAGCAACTTAGTTCTCTTCTCTTCTCTCCTCGTGTAAAATGATGGGAGCAAGTAAAGAGCTCCTGAATAGTGATTCCAGTTCCTGCCTACCTGATATGTAAAGGGGTTGTAGGCAAAATAAAATGGAATCATATTGCCACCCTACCTTCATAGTGAGAACTGGGCTGGAGGGAATAAACTTTTCCTTATATGGATATATTGCAATCCCCAACGTTTTCCAAACCTTTATGGGATAGAATGAGATGGCAAAAAATAAGGAGCGTTGTCCCTCCATGCAGAGCTCCTATTTTTACCTTGAAATCTGATTTTCTACTCTGTAAGATCTAAAGATCACTTTTTTGCAATAATTTTCCACTGAACACCATAATAATAAAGACAATATTCCTAAATATCAGCTCTGTAAATAAATATCTGCATTGTAGGTTAGGGCAGAATGGGCGACATGGATCCACTGTGTGTTTAAGTCACCTGTCTGCATTTACCTAAAATGTTAATGGGTTGTAGGGGTAAAGATAGAGAAACTGTACCTCATGACTAGCAGCCATCCAGGAGGGTAAGAAACACTAGCTGTGTTCCAAGTGACACTATTTACAGATTCATCTTTGGAAATGAAGAGTTTGTCAGCTGTAAAAGGAAGACCAAAATTTCGCCTGTTGTGCCTGACGTAATTCTCTTTTCCAGACTCCTGCCTCTGTATGTGCTGGTACAAGAAATATTGCTATCAATTTATAGGAAATGTCTCATGATTTACAGAAGGGTTGAAACTTCTCTGGTCTTCAACAGCTGCCAATTTGCCTACTTGCTAACACCAAAAAATATTAAAAGTAAAACCAATTAAAAGCGCTCAGTGTGACCGGTCTGGGTCAGATTCATACAGAACTGAGCTTGTATCTACAGGTTTCTGTGAGGTTTATGATTTGCGTGTCAACAAAGGAAGCAATTTAAACTGATACATGTGTATATTTTAAATATCAACCATAAAACTATTTAATCCTGTTTCTCTATGACATTACGCTTGTGTATTGACATTTGGACATGGGCAAAGTGAATATTTAATATTCTGCAGAAGAATGGCTGACTTATTTTCATTTTGCATTTCCTTTGGGTTATCTTGGAGGCAGGATTTATTGGAGACCAAGGCCCCTCGGTGCTTTTGACGCTGCTGCCGTCTCAGATTACTACCAGTGAAAAGCTGCTTTATTGAACTGTTAGTGATATTGAGCCTTATTAAAAATCAGATGCATGACCTGCTGCAGGACGTGTATCATCGCCACCGCAGCTTTGCTTCACTTCAGCGCTTCCCTCCTGGCAGTGCTGATCTGTCAGGATAGCGTTTGGGCAGCTTTCTGCATGGATCAGATAAGGAGGTCAGGAGCAGAGTCTCTGTCCTTTTTTGCTGTCTTCCTCCTAGGCTGGGGCAGTGATAGTTTGCTCCTACACAGGAAAAGTCACAGTGTGGCAGCGCTTTTAGGACTCTGAAAGCCCAAGGAGTTTATTATATTGTATTGTTTAACAGTGATCTGTGGTATCTAGATTGCAGAGTTTCCCAATTTTGCCTTACACACTGCCTTGCCTTGCACATATAGTAAATGAACTTCAAAGTCTGTAGACATCATGATTGAAGCTTTCTTTTTCTACTATCACCCTGGAGATATCTCCCATGACCATAGTTACACAGAGTGTTATTTCCAGGAAGCAGGCAAACCTAACAGTGTGGGAGATGCATGAGCAGTACTTTTCACGTACTGGGACTTTATATGCAGCAAGGAAGGAGACAGCAGAGAAACAGCCTGGAAGCCAGGATGTCCTGCAGCAGGGCTTGTCAGCAGGATGATTCAGCCTCCGTAACTGTGCTCAGCCCCACCACACAAACGGCCAATACAGGTACCAGGTAGCACAGTGTTTTTTGTGATGTTTCCCCGGGGATTTGGGCTTGCGTCATCAGCTCTCATTACACAGCAAGCTAAGAGTCATAGGCTGCTATGGACACGGGAAGGACCTGAAACAACATGAGATAACACATGAAGACTGATCTCTCTAATTGCGCAAATAAACTAAATTAGCTTCTCTTCCACGGTCCGGTTTTGAGAGAACAGCGCACCTGAACTGAAGCACGCTTGATCCGAATGCAGAATTTGCATGTGTGTGCTTGTCCACAGTATCTTGCAAAGTTTTCTATTTCTGCTTTTTTTTTCACCAGAAAGAAACACCGCTCGCCAATGCTGCATTTTGGGCTGCAAGGGAAGGAAAGCTGAACAGTGGGCGAGTAGATGTGGACTGCAAAGACAGTGTATGCATGCAACGCACACATGCCCACAGCACTGATTTACATCCCTTTTCCATAGCCCACTGCACAGAGGGTGTGGCAGGCATCTGACATGAGGCATCTGAGAGTCTTATGACACTTAGACGTGATTTAAAACCTTCTCTTGCCAAGAAACAAGTTTGAAACTCAGGAGAAAAGAGTGTGATGATTTACATCAGTGGCAAGGGGTTAGGAATTTGCCAGCACTCAAAAATGTGGCTTACATAGTTATTTGTGGAGTTGACATTAAAACACAGATTCTAGCACCTCAGGCTTCTCTTTGCAAGGAAATGTCATTGTAGTAATAGATCACTGTGACAAGTCGACTCAACTGATCACAGGTAGCCATGTTTCTGTCAGCTACGAGAGCTCCTCATAATTAGTTTAAAATAACCTTGGACCATAGTCTCCATTTAGGCAATGTAAAAGGTTGCATTTGATGTGCAGCCCCGTAGGGCAGGCAGCGTCTGCTACACGCAGTGGTGCTGTTCAATAAACTGCTAAACTGCTGGCCCTCTAACTTCTTCTTTACTCTCCCCGAGTAGCTCCTGCAGTTGACGCCAACACAAAGGCACAATAGGATTTCCAAGCAAAGAGGAGCCCAGATGCATTGCAGATAGATTCGATGGGGATTTCCTGACTGCCTTGGTATGAGCTGAAATTAGTTTTTAGATCAGAAATGGGCTGAAAACCCAGATAACGTACATGGCTTGCTAATCAGTCTAGAGCATATGGACGGTTACTTGATTGTACTTGCCTTCTGCAAAGAGCAGGGGAAAGCCAAGGTTAAGCAGTCCCCAAGTTTCCTGTGTTTAGTGTTTGAGCTGACTTGTTGAGAGTCATACTTGTGTTGTACAGGTTTAGTGCTACTTCTAGCCTGAAACATTAACCTGCCATAGCTTCTCTCACTTTGAACAGCTTCAAAGTGCAAGAGATTTTCTAAGTAGCAAGTTTGATGCCCAACTCCCATTGGCTTTTTCTGAAAGACAAGAACCTGTCCATTCATTTTTGCCCCGTAGGAAGGCACAATTGTCCTGTGATACTTCTGGTACTGATTCTGTGACTGTCATTTTCAAGGGGAATATTTTCATAGTAAAGTGTGTTCAGACTGGGGTGTGAAGGAAACAGGACAGAGGTAGATGTAGATGTCAAGAAATAAGGTCTGTGACTGTTCGTTTTTTCTCAAGAAAAAATTTCGATCAAGAGTATTTACAAAGTACTGTAAAATATCCTGACTTGTTAATTGTATCAGGCATACATATTTTCTAGACTAAAATATTTTCATATAATTAAGGCTGCGTGCTTCTTCTTTGCAAAGTCACACGTTCCTTCCTTAGATTGCATTGGTATGTGTGAAGGTTTCAGAAGGATGAGTTTCATCCTTATGCATATGGTCTTGGCGTATCATCCATACCCCACATATTTATAACCTAAACATTATTTGATTCACTGAAGCAGTGACCTTGTTGGGCCACCTAGGTAACCTGAACGCAGATCGCTGGTTAGGGACATTGTCTGGTATAATGTAAAGAGTCACAGCCTTCTGCAGACAGGGTGTGCTGTAGTCATTTGGGCAGAGAATAGCAGTTAAGACACCTGGACCCTATTCCTGACACTGATTCTTTATGTGACGCCAGAAGAGTCCCTTAACTTCTGTGTCTAAGGTTGTTGTTCTGCAAATGGTGCAAAGATCTTTGCTATCTCTGATAAAAAAAAAAATATATACATCAAAAATATTGTTGTTGTTATTGTTGCATTTATTTTAGGGACAATAATGCAAAGTCATTGCATATGTTGTTCCTTGAAGGGTCATGCCTTAGCGTTGCGGGAAAGTCTATAAAGTTTTTGCTGTTTGTTTTTAACACTGGTTAATTCCTCATTTTCAAAATATTTTTCATAGCAAGTTTCAAGCTGTTTTAGAATCCGTTTAGGGGAAAATTGCTCCACCGTTTATGAAGTGGAAAAGAACAAACAGGTTCTCTGATCAATGATCATAAACTGCCTTGAGCTTTTCAGAAGAGGTACTGTCTCTTCCGGACAGCCTGATTCATTGCTGGAGGTGTCTGTTGAAGGTACTGATTTGTTTTTCCTTACTCCCAGCTTGGCACAACAGCTCTGATGGTAGCCTCTTACTATGGCCACATAGATTGTGTTCGGGAATTGGTGTTGCAAGGAGCAGATATCAATCTGCAGAGAGAGGTAGGAGAAGTTCTGCATTCAAACAGGGATTGATTAAGTGACTGTTGTGTATTGGAAATAATAAAGGAGTGTTGTCTGTTGCTTATTTGCCAGTTGCTTATTTGGCATTTGCTATGCAGTGCATGTATATACAGGATCTGTTCTCCGGAGGACACCAAAGAATCAGATGTCTGGAATTTATGATAGAAAATGAGATGCTGGAGCTAAATTTATTTGTAATTCATCAAACATTTCCAGGACATCCACTTGACATGGGGCAGTTACATATGAGGTGTAACCCCATGGTAAATCCTTTATGCATCTGCCATTTTACTTACTAATACAGTAACTTACAGCTCTCAGGATGGGATAAATGTCTTATGATAGGGAGAAGTCCTTTACCTTTTGATTTGCAGTGTCTGGTCATTAAAATGGAGCTGATGCCATTGCTAGCCCAGGAATTATTTCGACTCAGTATGCTTTGGAGTTTCTGCTTCTCAGTCAGAGCCAAATCATCTCTGATGATCACATAGCTTAATCATCCATATTCTTTCCTGCATGTCTACTCTGCGTTCAAGGCATCTTTCGTGCCATGGCATGCTTTTTTGTGGGACCCTAATTATCCTTGGAATGGGAAAATGTCAGCAGCTAGCTTTATGGAAGTGCCTTCCCCTCACATCCTGGGCAAACGATTGTAGGAATAGCTGCAACTATTCTGGTTTTGTGTGCTGGCTACAGAGAAAACAAAATTGCTGTGGGACAAAGAGAGTTGCACTGGTCCTAAGAGAACAGCAGTTTTATGAGAGCTTGCAGTAATATGGAATGACTGCAGGAGATCTGGGATGGCAGTATTTTCTTCACTCAACAGTACAAGCAGATATTTCTTACTTTCCTTGGTTACCTGGAACTAGAGCATTAATCTCATGCTGATATCTGCAAGTTACTGAGTCAGTGAAAGCCATATCTGGTGGTATAAGTGTCTTTGCACTAACTAGCCTAAGCTTGCTTTAATCATGATGTCAGTATCTTTCAGCAAAATCCTGTTCCAACAAAACATGTATGTAAACATGTACTTTCCCTTAGATAAACATTGCCAGAAAGACCGCAACAAAAGGAGAGGTTGAGAACAGAGTTTTATAGATATGCTCTTGAGTATCACTCTGGGTATATTGGTTCAGCAAGCCAATAAAAAGAGAAACACGGGAATCCTCCAAAGTCACTCCAGGGAGGAAGGCATAGCAAAATAGATGGAATAGAGTCCTAAAGACTAACGACACTATTTTGGAAGTTAATGCGCCTACGCAAATCAATGCTCTTGTACTCCGAAGTTGGTGTGAACCTCAGGGAAGTGAGAGCCCCATAGAGTTCGCCTTTGAAAGCGAACTCTAAAACGGTCTCCAGGGGCCATGTGCAATTGTAAAGGCCTTTGGCACTGGAGTGAATTTCCATATCTCGCTCCATTTTCCTGTATCTCCTACATGGGATGAGAGAGCCCAAAGCTAGGAAAGCCTGCTTGTCTTCTTTCCTTCTTCCTTACCTTCTTTTTTTTCCTCTTTCCAGCTGTTAAAATACTCATTTTTCATCCTGATTTACTCAGATGTTAATGACAGAACTCACTGTTTAAAAGACAGGGTTTCAGTTCTTCAGTGAGATTAAGCTGAGGTGGGAAAAGAGGAGTTGCAGGGGGCTGGTTATAGCTGATTGAAGGCTCCTTGGCCAGAGGGAAAGCTAGTACTGTGAGAGACAACAATGATTTATACCATCTATGGCATTCACATTTTGTCAGTGTAAGGTCAAGGAAGGTGGAGCTCTGCTGTATTAACTAACCCCCTCTCCGATCCTTCCACACCCTGATCCAAATCCATCCCAAGTTCCCACTTGTCTTGGGTGAAGGGGCAGGCTGGCGGGTGGTATGGGGGTAGCTTTCAAATTGGCTGTTCCTCTCTTGTCTAAGACTCTTCTCACTCTGAGCTTTCTTTCCCCGTCTGGAGTCGGAGGGGAAGTAAATGAATACTAAGAGGTCTATACTAGAAGCCCTATGCAGCCCTGTTGTGGAAACTGGATTTTTTTCAAATATACATTGCTGGACAGATCGCTCAGTGCAATAAGAAGAAAACTGACCACTTAGCTAACATACCTTGTGTCCCCTGGAGTCCTCAAAGTCATCACCAGTCTTTCTGGCTGATATTCTATTGATTGTGCTCGATATGTTTTAATTTGAAATGTATACTTCAGTTAAGTACATTACATATTTGGGTTGTTTTAATCCACTTTTTCCTTACAGTCAGGTGCAACTGCTCTGTTCTTTGCTGCACAGCAAGGCCACAATGACGTAGTGAAGTTTCTCTTTGAATTTGGAGCCTCCACTGAATTCAAGAATAAAGTAAGCTCGTAGGTCTGTCTTTGCATGTCGATACATTCTGAGAGTCAAGCCTGTTGTTTCCCATTGACATGAAACATGACATGGCAGCAGGAAGATCATAAAATGATTTCCTCACTTGAATGTTTTCTGAGCAATATGAGTAACATGACATACTGTGAAAATATTAACTTGGGACTAGCTTTTATTACCCAGACTTAATGGCATAGAGTGGTCAGAGATCAGTCCCCTTGATGGTGAGATCAGTTTTTCCTCTTAAACTGTCCTGCAATACAAGAACGAAGAGCCTTTGTGTGCATGTTAGGTAGGCGCCCGTTTTAGGTGTATATGTACTCCACTTGCCCAGGCTGGAATTTTGTCTGCATTGGGGTGTCTATGCGTGCCACTGTAGGAAATATAAGAATATAGTGCCTTCAGTCTTCCCTAAATTCCCATTTACCCACCCGTGGCAGGAAGATGAAATGCATCTTCTAACTTCTGTTTCTTTGTTCAAGCTGGTTCTTTGTAAAAATCTTAGGATAGCCAAAAGCACTCTGGGCTGCGTGTTTCCACCACCACAACCTGACTTCAGTTCTGGATTAAATCTTCTGCCCCCTCATGCTTTCAGCACCCTGTTTCACTTCGCAGAGCATAGACACACACCTTCTATCGTGTTGCACAGGTCTCCTCAAAACAGTGGGCTCGTCAGGCTTCATACCCTGGGCATCTAGTGTCCTCTTGAAAGCTGGCCATGTCCTCTGCCTGAGGGAGAGTTGCTTTCTGAACAGATGCTCACGGAGGCTTCTCTGCTCAGGTTTATCAACAGGACCTTCTCAGGGTGAATGGCATTAAGAGCAGATACTCTGGCAGCAGCCCATCAGCTCAGTTTCTTTGTCCAAGGCAGCACTAGTACTTCTACTTTCAGCAAAAGGAACCGAAAGTACCAAATTTTTGTTAAACCTTCTTCCCCTTGACATGGTGGCCACATTCGGGAGCACTGGGACTGATGCAGCTGAAGTTCTTCGTTCCCATAATCTGGAGAGGACACTTGTCAGTACCCTGGCATCCACAGTGAAATGTGTTTGAGGAGGAAAGAATTATTCTTTACTACACAATAACCAGTTTTTCCAGATGTTGTAGTCCGGGATACGAATGGCTCCCACAACATATCCCTGCCTTTCAGAGTCCTTGCAGGCACAGACTTTAAATTCTAAGGAAACTGATAGAAGGTCCCTGCCCTCAACTCCTAATGCTCCAGGGGCTGCAGCAGATGTTACCAATTAAAAATCTGTAGGTTTTGTGGCCACAAAGCTCACGCATGCCCATACAGTAGGATTTGCATTGATTCTGGTATCTCAGTGAACTGTGCTTGTGGTAAGCAACCCTCTGAGCACAGCAGAAGGATTGATCGGTACATTTAAGAGCATGAATGGATCTGTGGCTATTTAACGCAACGTGGAGCGTGCCTGTGTAACTTAGCACCGCAGGAGGCTGCAACATGAAATACAACAGCTGGATTTCAAAGTGTTGGATAACCTCATGTGGAACAGAGCTGTTAGGAGAAGCTGCATGCTAAAATAAGGGTCATTACTCAGCCTTTTACTTCAGGGTTCAGGTGGTGGTAGTAAGAAGCGTGAAAATCATCTTCTCTCATGTTAGGCTGTATTCAATTGGACTGTGACCATTCTCTGAGTCATCTAGTGGCCTGCAAAATGGCCATGAACCACACTGAAGGAGCGAAGGTGTCCCCCCGGAACCGGCGCGTGACGTGGACATGAGGCAATTCCCCAGCAGCATCAAACATACCCATCTAAGCACTCCCTCCTTCTTGTCACCTCTTCAAGAAGTATATCAATAATTCCAGCCACCTCTGTGGCACTTTGGCACTCACGGTATTACTTGAGCTATAGTGCCTGAAAAGGCGCTTAAAAGTTGGATGAAGGACAGCTGAGTTTAAAGGAATCTATGCAAGATTAAAGTGATACTGCTTTAAAAAGTTGATAGTTAGTGATGTCCCTCTTTACAAAAAGGATCTGCTCTCTCTGTACTGTCATGCAGATATGAGGGCTTTACTAGATTCATCATTAATTCTGGAAACCATCCTGGAAATTGTTGTCTCACTCATTGCTTGCTTGAGAGCTGCAGCTCTTCCCGCTGAAGTGAGAATCTAGCCACAAGGGTACAAATGTTTAGAGTCCAGGCTGCGCTTTGGTAACTCACCCTGTTTTAGACTGAGGCCAGGTGGGAACCTTACCTGGTACACTGGGCAGCAGCGTGTACCCCAGAGAGAGGTACCACTGGGAACATACCACAGCACCAGTGTGCACCTCCCATTGGCCTTGTAGTTTGTTTTGTTATCAGTTAAATTTCTGATTTAAAAACGCAAAGCGTTCAGTAGCTTGGAATCGTTGCATCAAACCACCCTTTTGTTAACAGGCAACTAAGATAATGGGCTCTCCCCCCAAACCCGGGCACAAAGCAGTTGACAAAATATGCCCTTTCAAGTCAGAGGTAAGGGGTTTCCTGATGAAGGCACTCAGCCAGGAGTCAGCCCTGGAAGAGATTAGGCTGATCCTGGCTGCTTTCAAGGGGCGTTGAAAAATTCGTCAATTTCCATTGATAATTTCTATTATCGGTGAAGATGTGGAATTATCATAACAAAACATATCAAACATACCCTAGAAAACAGAGACTTTAAAGCAATGTGTCCTCTTTATAATTTACTTTTCTGCAAATTTTAGTTACTGCATTCGTCTGACATTCAGATCTGACAGTGCTGGAGAAATATCTTCGTACAGGCATTCGTTTCTTGTTACCCCTAGTACAGTTAGAGTTGACACTGACTACGGCAGGGAGAACAATCAGGTTCTAAAACGGTGTAATGAAGCAATTAGCAACAATTGCTGATGTGATACGGGAAAATAAATGCTGCTCTCTAAGATTATTGTGGCAGCAAGCTTCAATAATATTTTCTGCATTGTCACAGTCTGACATCCCTAGCACTATGTATCACAAATTAAAATATGTTTTATTTATTTTCTTAATGTGAGACATGTTATAAGCATGTGGGTTCTTAAATGGATTGCCCCAGGTGGATGTTTCCTGAGCAATACTGAAGGTAGGACAGAAGCAGAGGCTATTTTTTTTCCTGGCTAGCGACTGCAGAAGATCAGGTCCCTTCCCTTTTGGCACGTTTCATAAAACGCCATATAATTCTAAGGTACTTTCAGGGAATGATGACAGAGATGAAGGAAGACGTGGGCAAATAGACTGAGAAGTCCAGGCCAGTTACATGGTCTTAGCTGCTGCTGCTTACACCGGAGACTGGCAGCTTCTGTATGTGCTGCCCATAGGAAGGATAGACTGAGAAGATACGAAAGGAGGTGGCAGAGAAAGAAGGACAGAGGTAGCTGAGAGAACCGGCTCTCTTCTGAGTCCCCACTGTGCTAGAATGGTTTGCAGTAAAAGATTAATAAAAGCTGCGTTGCGTCAAGAAGACAGGATAGGAGCAAGAAACAAACTGGTGCTCTGGGCCTTCTCTCAGCTGCGTCACCCGTCTGCCTCCCGCTGCAGAGCGGGTTTTGCACTAGGAGAGTCTCTGTGGCTGCTCACGTGTCCCGGCTCCCGTTTGCTGCCCTGCTCAGAGTTTCCAAGATGCATGCCAGTCCCAAAGATGCTGCTTCAGCTCTTTGCCTGTTGCAGCTGAAGTCAAAAAGCAAAGAAAAAAGGGAATCACAGGGCTGAAAGAGATTTTAAAACTCTGACATTTGCTTCTTTCTTTCCTCCCTTCATCTGCCATCCTTGTAGTCTGTAAAATGTTGGCCTCTCCAGCCGGAGCTTGCTCGGGTACCAGGAAAGGCGATTGTGCTGGTGAAAAAGAGAAAACAAGGAAGAAAGTGTGAGAGAAAACAAGAGGGAAGCTCAGTAGGGGGGCTGAGTTTTCCCCTCCTAAAAAAAGCGGCCCTTTGCACTGGCAGTTACTTGATTTAACTGAGTGCTGTCTTGGCACAAGGTGTTTTCAGTGAAAAAGATTCCCCGCCCAGAACTTCCTTTTCTCACAGCAGGACCCATCGCTGTTTATCACGGAGCTAACGGTGTCCCCACCTAAAGCATGCAAAGGACTCTCGGTCTCTTCCGCTGACCCTGTTCAACTTCGTGGGGACACAGAGTAGAGCAGGTCTTAGAGCCCAGCTGTCTTTCTGATCAGGGACCAAATTTTTGGGCCAAGGAGCAGTCAACGGATTCTTTCTGGCCCAGTAAATATTTGATTTGGGGTGGGTAACTGAAAGCCTGAGGACCAGACCTGGGGCACCGCATTTTTTTTCTTTTTTTGGATCCCTGTAGTCTGACCAGGGCGATCTAAGGCACATGGTCACTCTAGTCTAAAAGAGCTAAATTACGTATTTTGGAAATGTGTTATTGTTTCCAAACTTGTAACTAGCTAAAAATGTTCACTGAATTCAACCAAATATTTGGCCAGAACATTTAGTCATTTTGAGACACGCCGATACCTCCTCCTTGAACTCCCCCTTCTTAAACCCGAAGCTGTTACAGCTCGGCGGGTGGAATCACACAGTGCTTCTACTCAAAGTGTTTGGCCTCAGCTCAGCTAGACTAACTGTGGTTAGCTTTGCAAGCCTGACTTTTATTTGGGACCTGTCATTTGGTTCCCTCCGGAAATGATGTTAATAACCAAACAATAACTTAATAAACAATAACTGCTTAAAATAACATATTGTTTGTTGAGAACACAAGAATTTCAGAAAACAAAAAGCAGACCATAAAGCAATAAACAAGTTATGCCCATGTCCACGTTACTGTCGGTGTGTTTTTACCTTCCACACGGGGAACCTCAAGATGTTTAAGCTTCCTATAGTTAGTTCATCCTTCCCTACCTCTCTGCAGAGGACCTCCGGTAGCAGACTTCATTTTCTTAATGCACTAA